ATTTGTCGTCTGTCTCGATAATAACAATCTAAATGTTACACAACTAGGTAAGTACGTGTATAAAACTAAAATAATATTAAAGAGTAATATCAATAAGTAAGTACTTACTTAGTTGACATAAGGAAGTTGTGATTTCCTCCAATTGTCACTGCGAGCATGGCGTATATCGTATATCAAGAGAATCATGGCTATAGTCACACTTAAAAAAAGATAAATTATAACTTTTTAGTCAACCGTGACCATGGGATCTGTGAAGGGCCAGAAACGTTGGTTTGTTTGAAAAAATCAAATGTACGCAATTTAAATCCGGAAAAATAGTTTCATTTACTATGTGTAACAATAGCGACAACCTAAGAACTCGATATACATATAACTTTTTTATAGAATTTTTTTTATAGATTATAGAACCAGGTAGGTGATATTTTTTGACATGACTCGCGCGTTTGACTTTGTATCTCATGACATTTTGCTGAAAAAACTAAATAATTTAGGTATTAGAGGCGTGACTCTTAACTGGTTAGCTTCCTATTTGGAAAATAGGAAGCAAGCTGTAGAAATAAAACATTTAAATAAAAACGGCTGTGTTGTATCAGCAAGATCGCAATATAGAGTCAATGCATGTGGTGTCCCGCAAGGTGGTGTTCTCGGGCCATTATTATTCTTGCTCTACATAAATGACCTACCAGAGGTTACACGACATAAATGCATATTATTTGCAGATGATATTTCAGTCGTAATTCCTTACAAAAATGACATAATTAACTACGAATTAGACAAAAACAATTCAATACATGTAATAATAAATTGGCTTAAACTTAATAATTTGACTGTTAACTTGACTAAAACTAAATTCATTCAATTTGGTACAAATCGACAAACAAAAATGAACCTTAACATAAATTACAAGAATGTCAATATTCAGGAGGCAGACTCTACAACATTCTTAGGCGTGGAAATAGACAGTAGATGCAAATGGTCACAACACGTTGAGTCACTGGTAGATAAATTACATCGATACGTGTACGTCTTAAGGAGGTTGCGAAATATATCATCACCATCTACAATTTTGACTGCTTATCATGGTTACGTTGCGTCTCTGCTTAGATATGGACTCTTGGTTTGGGGTAACTCAACTGAGTGTAAAAAATTGTTCACAGCTCAAAAAAAGTGTGTTCGAGCAATGACCGGTGTTTCCCCATGGGAATCTTGTGCACCTTTGTTTAAAGAATTGGGAACTTTGCCGTTACCGTGTATGTACATTTTTGAAGTGGCATGGTTTGTAAAGCAAAATCTAAACCTTTTTAAAAAAAATACAGATGTACATAGTAGAAGTGTAAGGGACCCAAATAGACT